AAAGAGAGAGTGACCAAGCAAGCCACCAGGTCCGGGACTCGAACTGTGGTCGGCCATGTGGGAGTGTCCAGCGCCTTAACCACTAGGCCACTGGTCCTCACGAACTTGGTTTTTAAATTAGTTTAATTTATGCTTAAATAACCACATGCTTATCTTGGGTCCGGTATCAGATAGTACAGATTTAGAACTACATTGAAATGTTGCCCTGGAACATTTTAAAGAAGGCGTGTATTTAAACGAAATGCTTTTGAGACCAGCTGGTAGTGTGGTGGTTAAGGCGCTGGGCTCCCACAACGGCCGTCCGTGGTTTGAATCCCAGGCCCAGTGACTTGAAAATCACACCGGGCACTTGTGCGTGTGTGTGATGAAAATCCCGGGAGGAGACTGGAGGAAAAGGGATTGGGCATGGCCATCCCCCAGCGGGTGATTTCTCTCTGTCTCTCTCTGGTGAGAGTACGCAGCCTATCATAAAACCCAAATGAATGAATGGATGCATAAATGCATGCTTTGAAGTCACTTCCATTAGTTTCAAAAACGTCCCAGGAACTTAACAATAATCCAAACATAGGTGTAAAGTGTTTTCGATTATTTCTATGTGTGGATCCATTACTATTTTTCAATATTCTAAAAACATGTTAGTAAAACATGTTTCCTACAGAGGAAGCGGCTGGTGGAACTGTATGGTAATTCATAGCCCTAGTTTAATACCAGCTTGTCATTTCCTCCCCCCCCAAAAAAAAAAAAAAACTACACTAAATGAGCCCTGCATTTGAAAAGATTTGTTAACAGTTTTGCATTTAAATTCTCCTCCAGGATATTAATTTTTCCATTTATTTGTGGAGTCAATTTACAGTGGACTTTGGATGCTAGATTGAAGTAGCAATGTACAAACTACAGAACCAGGGGCCAGCAGGTGGCCTACTCTAGGGTGTGGACTCCCACAAGGTCGATCGCGGTTTGAGTCCAGGATCTGGTGGCTTGATCACCTTGGTGGGTGTACGTGCATGTCCAGAATCCCAGGAGAATGGAGGAGAAGGGATTGTGGTGTGACCATCCCCCCCGGGGGGTGATTTCTCACTTTCCCTCTTACTGTGCGTGTCTTTCTGTCTCTCTCTCAACACATGCATATGTGCTATGGCAAAAACCTTAGGAAAAAAAAGACAAACAATCCCTCTATAACCAGATAAAATAGTGCGTAGATGGGATTTGAAATTGCAGAGATATTTAAAGACCGTTATAACTCTTCTTTCTTTAAACCCCCAGTATAAAATCTGCTTTCACTTATTTGCAAGGATCGAATTATTCTTTTTATTTTCTTTGAAAGAGATGTTTGCTATAGGGCACGTGTGCTTGCCAGACAGACAGACAGACAGAAAGTGAGAGATCCCCCCCCAGGGGGGACGGCCATGCCACAGTCCCTTCTCCATTCTCCTCTCGGGATCTTGGCCACGCATACATGCTCGGCGTGAGTTTTAAACTGCCGAGTCCAGGACTCGAACTGCAGTTGACTACTTTGGAGTTCAGCAACGTAACCATTATGCCATTCCCTGGTCCCTTAGTTATTTACTTCTTAGTAGACGGAGTGTCTACGCTGTGGTCCTAGAGGCTGTGATGAGTTCACACAGAAGCACGCGTGCATGCTCTTCACTAGTCCCTGGCTCTGAAAATCACCCGTTAGCTTCCAGTAACCCAAATCATTTGGCTTTTAAGGAGAACAAACTTTTAACCTTCACCTTTACTAAGGACCAAAGAAGAAATGGTGATTAGTTTTGGTACCTAGGCAGAGCATGTGACTTAAGAAAAATCTTGGGCCAGCCTGTGGTCTGGTGGTTAAGGTGGCTGGATCCCACATTGCTGACCACACAGTTTGAATCCCAGACCCGGTGGCTTGAGAAACATGCCGGGTGCATGTGTGTGTGTGCCCAAATCCCAAAAGGAGGGAGAGAAGGAGAAGGGATGCTGACTTGACCGTCCCCCACTGGGGAGAGGCGTGCTTTCTTGCTTTCTCTCTGTTGTCTCTGTCTCTAGGAAGTGCATGTGCCCTCCGTCAAAATCTTCAAAAAATATTTTTAATGATGTAGGTCTTGGTTCAGTTGATTCAATAATGTCACTTTCTGTCCTCACTAGAACTGAAAGACAGCAAGCAAATTTTATCTGTTACGAAGAACTTTAAGGTTGAGAATATCGGCCCTCTT